ATTTGTCAAAAAAATATTTTTTTTTTTTTTTTTTTTAACTGTAACGCATCTTTATTTAGTATTGAGTCATACAAAACTGCGAACTAAAATAAATGATACCTAGAGCCATCCGTGCAAATCACGTGATAACCCTATAACAGAGTTTAACTATCTAATAAACAAAAACTTCGTTACAAAATATATAAAATAAATACTTACTACCCTTCCATCTGATGTACCGTGCAACTAGAAACTAAATGGAGATCTAAATAAAACTTTCTAAATTTACATAGGGAAAAGGATTGGAAATTTGTAATAAAGACTGAATCCTAAAGTTATAAAAAATAGATGAGTCCCAACGGTCCCACACCCAGTAAACAATTCATTATTCAAACCTTCTCCCCTCCCTACAAAAATAAAGTTAGTATTCTACTCTAAAGACTTTAAAATAAAGGAAAAAGTTACAATGTTTGATTTTATTTAAAATTTGCTATCGGGATATTTTATAACGTGAAATCACGTGACCTCGATTGACAAGTGTAACTTTCTCTTCCTTTATTTCTGCTTCCTCTTGTTCTTCCTTTTATTCTTCTTCTTTTTGCTCGAGCTTGGCGTCTTTTCCTTAGTCTCTTCGCCTTCCATCCCGTCTTTACCTTCTTCTTCTAATTTCTCTTCTCCCATCTCGCTATGGTATACAGTATATAATATTAAAGAATTACACAACCCCATGTAATTTTTATTGTCAACAATTTATAATAACAAAAAAAATCGAAAAAACTAGTTTTTGGGGCATCCTAGAGGGAATGGAAGATCTAAAAAAAATTACTGCAAGTGCATTCCATAAACTCAGTCAATATGTAAGGCATGATACATCCTTTTCTACAAGAACTTTAGCAAGAAAATTGAAAAATACAGGTGAAAAGTATAATATAGAACAATTAAAAGTCATCCTTCAAGTGTTGGTTATGTAAAAAAAACTTCCCAAAGCAACTCCTATGTTAATCGAAGCACACAAGCAAAGACATGTAGAGTGGACACAAAATAATATTATGACCAATGGGAAAAAATTTATCTGCTGATAAATCAGCCTTACAACTCTTTAGTAACACTTTTAAATATTAGTATAAAGAGGAAAGACCTGTTTGTTGTACGTCTGAAGATTATATAAGAAATTATGGCATGGGGCGGTTGTTTGTGAAGGGAAAAGCAAGTTTATTTTGTTTCAGACAAATTATGAATATCGAGATTTATGCAGAAATTTTTTGTACACGTGCTTCTGAGATCTCCTGGATGCTTTGTGGTCTTTCGTTGGTATTTCCAACAAGAGAATAATAGTCATTTTTCTAAGCTCAGTCTAAAAGAAAATTCATCAGAAGTTTCAGGGTAGTCATGAGATAACCCCGACCAAAATCCTATTGAAATTTATAGAATATCACAAAAAATAAGGCGGAGAAGTGAATACCAAAAAAATTTTAATTATTTTGAAGAATTTATGATGGAGAAATGCCAAAATACTCTAAAAATCGTTCTAATCGATATTTTAAAGTCAACTAGACGAGGTTGTAAGTTAATTATTGAAATAATGGCAAATGTGTATAAAAAATTTCATTAAAAAATAAAAGAACCGAAAGGAAGGGGAAATTTTTAATAAAAGAAAAAAATCCGGTTGTTATAAAACTGGAGAGAAAAAAAATAATAAATCTGGTTTTCAAAGCCCGTAAAAAAGAAAGACAAAAAATTTCTCGGTTTAACCGTTAAGGAAATAACCAAAAAAAAAATAATTTTCAGTTTAATAAGAAACAATGGATAAATTCAGTTTAACCATGTCCTGAAATGATGGAAATGGCACCGTTAGCATTACTATCACAACTGAAACTGATTAGTGTTAGTCACAAGATTGGCCACATGACCTCAATAGCCAATCAAACTACATGGAATAGAGGGTAATCTAAATATCACAATTATTCAGTGGACGTTAATATTGTCTTCTTATCAAAATAATTATCGTTAGTCGTTACCATTAATATTTGACACGACAAAAACACATACTGGAGATGAACACTAGATGAACCAAGTTGATACACAACTCAAATCAAGAAAAAGAAGTATTCAGAATATATTTTTTTAAGAGTAATTCATAAATGAATTATAATTTAATATTTACAATTGTTGTAAAATTTATTTATTTATTATTTTATAATAGTGAAATTAATGTGACTAACCGTTACGAAGTCTGGAGCTTATCATATTGGAAATGATACAATAACGAACAAGCTAATATATTTAATTTAATTTATTTCGCATTTGTTGTAAAATTTGTACAAAAAATTTTACAAGAATAAAAATTCTACATCAAAAATTTTAAAAATATTTATCGATCGAAAAGCTAAAAATTATAATATGAAAGAAGTAGACCAACACATACTAGATTAATAGCAGATCGAGATATTTGATATTTTCATAGTATATTTGTAATATATGAAAGAACCAATTATATATTGACTCAAAGGACAAGCGGGCGGACAAACGGAACGATTTTGTACCACCTCATTTAAATCATATAGTCCTTCGTTACACTCCGGACTAATAAATTCTAATATATTACTATAATGTATTGATTTAAAAACATCATCCTAAGAACAAGTTCTAGTTGAGTTTCGGCATACTAAAAAGTAATTAATATGTTTCGCAATTTAAAATTTATTATTAACTTACTAAAAATTTACGTGAAGTAGTGAAGTAGAATTGAATTTATTTCAATTCATTTCGTGCGGTTACTTAGCTTAGTACAATGCCAATTTTTTCCCAATTAAGAACTATTTTATGGCGTACTTTTAAAAGACTCCCTTAAAATTTATGTAATTATAAGAGGAAGGAGGAAGTGGTTCGTTAAGAATATTTGTCACACGTTCATATGACTTCGTAGTGCAAGCATGTTCCATCATCATCTAGAATATATCATTATAAGAATTGATTTTTTAATTTTAATAATTTTAGTATATTTACTTGGAACAAGTGATATATTTAAATTGTAGTATTTGGAATAAAGGTTTTTCGAATTTACCAGCATTATAAGATGAACTCTTATATTAAGTTGGTTAAGCAGAATAAATTGCATCATCTCGAAATCTTTCATCATCTCCCGCGCGTACTAACTGCAATATTATCATGTGAATAATTGACAATTCAACAATACAAAAAAGAACATAATACGTATTTATCAAACCGATATTACCAGCTGATGATGACAAACCAGCATCACGTATAGCAAGACTAAGAGCAAACTTAAACCGCCTCCAGCACTATTACAATATTTTTTTGGATTTAAAGGTTCAAATCTCATATCTTCAAGAGATATAAATAAGCATCTAAATGCATCTTGTAATGCGGTGGGAAATTGATTTTGAGATGTAAGCCGATAATTGATTGCTATAAAAGAAAATTTTAGTAGGTAAAATTTCATATTAATCTTACCTAAAACTTTTGCATTTGCTATTTTTTAGCAAGAGAGCTTGTAATAGGACGATGAGATTCTTTACAAAGAAAATAATAACCTCCATCGTGTAAATACAAAATAGTTTCCTTTTCCTAACTTCTCTTTTTTTCCTATTCATAATTAGGAACTTGATCCCATTCGGCAATAATTCGATCATCTTTCAAATTTTTCCATTCGGGTCTAAATATGTGTATATGCTGGTTTCAAGTTTTATCAAGATGAACTTGGGCTTCATTTCTATATTTATTAGTTATCTTAAATTCATTCATCATTACGTCAGCTTGTACAGGATCAGGAAGAAAACCAGCTCTTTGAATTTTCTCAATTGTCTTGACACTACTTTCGGATAATAATGTAAACTTAAGTGACATTTTAAATCTCATGAAGATCTTGGCGGTCCATTAAGATAGTGTAGAAATTAATAATAAAGAATTTTTTAAATAGTCGGTCATTTTTCAAATAGTAAAACTATAAATTAAAAGATTCAGTGAAAATAATGGTTCTATTTATATGAGAATGAATATATATATTATGAACTCTGGTTTTTATTTGTACCAGTACCACATGTTGATTCTATGAATCGATATGATAAAATAGATTTCGAAATTTTTACTATTATTAGAATTTTTACAAGTTGAAAAAACAAATTAATGTCTATAACAAATTATATAATATTTTTCTTGGGGTAATATAAAATATAAATACATATTTTTAAAAAAATTAAATTAAATTATTTTATAAGAATTTTTGATGTCTTGAGTCTAAACTCTCAACATCAATATATAAGCTCTAACTGATGTAGATCAGTGAACTGGAAAAAATACGGCCCGAAAAAAAAACAAATTAAGTGATCATGCAGCTGTGAAGTGATGTAATTTAAAATTTAAAATATGTAAGAATGATAACGATTTATAGATTGGGTTACAAGCAGTTTTAATTTCTCTCACTCCTCTCTTCCCCCTTGTTTTTACTTTAGTGTCTAATCCACTTTGTTCTTTCACCGCTATGGCGACTAGTTCTCCATTAGTCAGGTCGTTCCAACGAAGAGTGGGTCTTAAACTACTCTTTCATCTACATTTTCTGATTCAATAGTTGAATCAATAATAGGAATTGTAACATGGTACTTTTAATAGACAAAAAATTATTAATATTTTTAACTACAAAAATTAAATTAAATAATTATAATTATTAAGAATATTAAATTATCATTACCTGATATTTACTATCATACTTCCATAAATTTTTTGGGTTTCATCCATATTAATTGAGCTGTGGATTATAATTTTAATTTTAGTTATTATAAGTAAATAACTACGTTACTCAAAAATAAATTTCAGAATTATTATGGGAAAAAGAAAAAAATTATGAATTTATTAGAATTTTTAAAGATGTATTTTAAGCAGATCAAATGAACCGGAAAAAATACGGCCCGGAAAAAAATTTAATTATCCTTTTTTAGTAACTCATTACTATAAATATATACAGTGCCTGGAAAAAAGTCAGTAAGCACGTGATGTCGATCAATTTTAATGCGAATTTTTAAAATTAAATAATTCATAAATTACTACGCCAAATTTAATATCTTTTTTTTTATTTGAAAGACAAAGCCTTCAACTTTTTATTAATACTTTGTTGGGTAACCTTTACTATTTATAACAGCAGAGATACGACGAGGCATGCTACTAATAAGATTTTGATATTTATCAGCTTCAATATTTGACCATTCCTCTTGAAGTATTTCCCATAAATTCTCCCTGTTTTTTGGTAATGGCTTATGTGCCCGCACCTGCCTTTCCAATTCATCCCATAAATGCTCTATAGGATTCAAATCTGGGCTCTGTGCGGGCCAAGGAAGGCTGTTTACTTCATTTTCTTCTTCCCAACTCTTAACCACCCTTGCAGTATGTATAGGGGCATTATCATCCTGAAAAATAAAATTTTCCTGATCGTCTAGATTATTAATAAATGGTAATAAATAATTTTCCAGTACATTCATATATACTGTGGCTGTTATTTTACCTTCTAATTTAACTAATGGACCAAGATTGTTTTTTGAAAAACATCTCCAAACCATCACTCCTTGTTGACCTGACTTTACTGTAGGTATTAAACACTCAATATCATATTTTTCATGTGGCCTTCTCCAAACCAATCTCCTACCATTTCCTCTGAATAATTCAAATTTGGATTCGTCGCTCCAAATAACACTGTCCCACTCATTTATCCATAATTTTCGTTCTTTGGCCCAGTTGAGTCTTTTAATTCTATTTGTTTCAGTAACAAGAGGTTTTCTTACTCCTACTCGACTATAAAAACCTTGTTCATGAAGATAATTAAGTAAAGTTTTTTTGCATACATGTGTGGAAGTAGAATCAACGAAATTCTCATGTAACTCCTGAAGGGTCATTTTCCTATCTTTTTTAAGAATTCTTATTAAATGTCGGCCATCCCTTTCTGTCATTTTAGGCGGTCTTCCAGTCCTAGGAGGGAGTGTTTCATCACCACGTATCTTGTAAGTAGAAATAACCTTATGAATGGTACAACTGGGACAATTTAATGCTTCAGCTATCTTTCGTTCACTTACTCCACATTTTCCAAGCTCCAATGACTTCTCCACGTTCAAAAATTGTAAGTTCTCTTCGTTTGCAAGACATAGTAGTTAAAGAAGGTTCTAAACAACGCATGGGAAAAAATTGGAGACAAATTTATAATAAAATGATCGACAAAACTGGTTTTAAAGTTAAACAAATAAATGATCTACAGTCACGTGCTTACTGACTTATTTCCAGGCACTGTACATATAAAAAAAAAATTTTTTTTTTTCGTTCCAAAAAAAAAGATAATTTTATTAATACTATATATTACGAAAATAACCTAATGGAAACCGAATTTAGTAAATTAAATATCTCAGGTAGAGATTCCAATTACAAAAATTGTTCTTATTGTAATAAACCCTTTACTAAAGAATTATGGTGTAAAGAATGTGACCCATTTAGAATAATTGAAGGATGGACAAGTGAAAATCCTGATATTAATAAGTTTATAAAAGATACTATTTGTAAGCCAGGATGGGTCAATAAATATAGCTACAAGTTTCTTGAATGGGTACCATATGAGAGGTTTACAGATATAAAAGAAATTGGTGAAGGTGGATTTGCCAAAGTATATTCCGCAACTTGGATTGATGGTAAATCATCTTATGATAAACAAAGTGATGGAAGTTGGAAAAAACTAGAACCTAAATCTATGAATGTTGCCTTGAAAAGGCTAAATGGATCATATAGTATGTCAAATAAATATTTAAATGAAGTACGTTTTTATATTATGTTATTTTAATTTATTTATTTTTATTATTTAATATTAAGAATCATTATTAATACTCTTATATTATATAACATAGCTTAAGATACATTGGAATATATCTAAAAATAACGGATTGAAGTTCTATGGATTAACTAAAGACCCAGAAACTAAAGAATTTATGATGATTATAGAATTTGCTGATAAAGGAAATTTGAGAAGTATTCTCTTAAATAATTTTAACGATTTTATGTGGAAAAATAAAATTCGTTTGTTATGGGTTATATTATATGACTTAAACAATTTACACAACTCTGGATATTTACATAAGGATTTTCATAGTGGAAATGTCTTAAAAACTAGGGATAACGAATATATTTCAGACTTTGGATTATCTGGACCAGTAAATGAACAAAAATCAGATGATAAAGTATATGGAGTAATGCCATATATTGCACCAGAAGTATTAAACGGAGAACCACATACATCATCATCCGACATTTATAGTGTAGGTGTAATTATGGCTGAATTATCGTCTGGAAAACCACCTTTTTACAATAAGAAACATGATTTAAGCTTAGCATTAGCCATATGTAATGGACTCAGACCAGAATTTGGAAAAGAAACTCCTGAATTTTATAAGAAATTAGCTTATAAATGCATGAATGCAAATCCAAATGAAAGACCAACAACCGAAAAATTAAAGAATATATTTTATTTTTGGTATAATACTATTATAGGTGAGAATGAAGAAGAAGAAGAATTCGGTTATAAAGGAAACGAAGTTAAAGCAGGATTTGAAGAAGCTGATAAAGAAATACCAAATATCTCAACTTCGTATAAAAAGAATTCAGATGCCGTATATACTAGTAGAGCGTTTACATTTAGTAATTTATTACCAAAACCCGTTAATTCATCCATTATTACTTCATATGTTAATAATGAAGGTATTTTTATTTTTAAATTTTTATTTTTACTTAAATAATAATTAACCTATTGTTTAATAGTTTGTGACTCTCAATTAATCGACTTGGAAGTATCAAATTCAATACCATTAAGAGGTACTATAAATATAATTTACCACTTACTTTATAACATTTTAAGTATACTAATAATATTTATATTTCTAATATTTAGACATTGACGATGAAAGTAAAGTTGAAGATTTAGTGAATTGAATATATTAATTGGTAGCTTAATAATTACTTTATAATGTAAGCCTATGATTAAATAGTTTAAGAACTTTCCTATTTAAGATTATATATAATTATTATTTGTGTAAAATTCCGTTCCTAAAAATTTTGACGTGTCAAAAATTTACCTTTAATATCAGCTCTGACATGTGATTGGAGTAAAATATGTATTTGAACGAAAGTTCAATAAATTGCGCAAATTTGTATTACTATTGTATACAAAAATTACTATTTTTGTAACAAAGAAAATTCGTAAGGAGCAGCTGATAAAAAATAAATCTAACCCGAAATAGTTAAAATGAAAAATGCGAAGTAAAATTATTTTTGTTCTGTATTTTCAAAAAAATAAATAGCAATAAAAAAATCATTGCCAAATTATATATCAAAAATAAATTAGTTTGGAATAAAAATTTTAATTAATATATTTTTAATTAACGAAATCATTGGATACAGATTATAGTTCGCACATAAGCTTTTTTTGTCTTTACGCTAGGAAGATAAATAATAATATTGTGTGATTGGTTAAATGAAATATGGAAAATGAAATAAATATAAGGTATTTCATACTATTATCCGTATGGAAAAGATCATATTATTATGAAGATGATCCAACATTGAAGGATCAAAAATTTTATCGTATATACGTAAATCAATAATAATTTTGAAAAGTTTATTATGCAATTTTAAATTGAGTAAATTTTAAAACAAAAAAGAAAATTTATTTATCTTTTATCTTAAACGATATTTATTTAATTATGTATCAAGAGATATATTTTTTGAATTGAGAACATATCTTCTATATTACCTTTGCACTAATCTTACTAATCTTTGATGAGGCGTAAAAAAATTAAGAATGAATAAAGTGTGAAAATTGTGGTCAAGTAGTAAATAACTCTTGTATTAACAAATCCATTACTACGATAAAGATATTAATAAGTGTTATTAAAAGGACGATCTAATGGACTACAGGTTTCATGAAGATAAATAAAAGCATTATAAAATAATAATTAAATACTTCAAATCACAATGTAATATTTATGATGATGATTTGTACTCCCTTCACAAAATACCCTCATGATATAATATCCCCCTTTATAATATCCTACCATCCACAATATCACAAAGTACCCGCGGGTATTATATAAATTTAAATCAGGTATTTTGTATAATACCCAGGGTATTATGTGTACTATGTGAAGTGCGGTACGGTACATTCGGTACAAGGTCAACCCCGAAATTTATACCGGGTACTTACTATACAGTAAACTGTGAAATTTTAAATTTTTAAATTTTTCAAAAATTCAACGAAATATTTGCATATCATAGCGAATAATCGGTAAATCATTAATCACTATAATGAATTTACTGAAGTGTTCGTTAAAAATTATAATTTTAATTTACATAAATAAATTACGACGAATTTAAAAATTTTAACATGAAATTTTATTATATCACTATATGAATATTTTTGAAGATGGAATAGAACTTTTTTCAAACAAATTTCTTTCTTTTGTGCTGTTGTAGGTGGTTTATGTTTCCTAAGAAATTCATTAAGTTGCTTATTACTATTATTTATTATAGGTTTACAGGATGGGCTTTCAGCATTTTTTAAAAATAGCCAGAGTAAAAAACAGTAGTAAGTTATGAGCGTATTCATTACTTATTAATTTTATGTGTTGTTTCAGTGAGAAAATGTTAGTTCTTTATAGTAAGTTTATTTCGCAAAATTCTTTCATAAATTTTGAAAAAAATCGGTACAAACAATAATTCTTCATTATATTCGTAAAAAAAATCAGAAATTATTCGTTAATTTTTTTCATATATCAAAATCCGTATCACGCCCAAGTTTTGCTATATCATAAATTGCTATATGCAAAAGCTCTACTAGTATATATAGCGTCAGAATTCTTTTCATATAAAGTTAAGATGCTTGATATTTTTTCTTCAGCTTCTTCAAATGCTGCTTTAATTTCTTTTCCTTTATGACCACAATATTCATATCTAGAGAATTTACAATCGAGCTATACCAAAATTGAAATATTTATTTTAATCCTTTAGCTACCCTATGAAAAAAGTCTGTGTGATTTTTGTTGAAAAATCATTCAATTAAATTCACTACGATTTCTGTATATTTGACCATACAATAATTGTGCTAAAAATTGCAATAAATCACACAATTATTGCATGGTAATTCATTCAATAATTATCCTATTTTTGACCTGAATTTATACAATTATTGTGTGATTTATGAGCCAAATTTTAGGCCATATTTTAGGAATTATAGGTTAAATTTTACAGTAATAACAGGCAATTTATAAAGTAAAATTATGAATTTTTATTGACTTAAAATATAAAAAATATACACAATATTTCATAAATAAAATACTAAATTTGATATAATCATAAATATAAAAATTTGTAAGAAAATAAAATAAAATNAATTAGTAGTATCAAAGAAGAAAGTAAATTATTAGTGTAAGTAAATTATTAGTATTAAATAAAAAAGTATGAAGTTAGTGAAGAAAGCAAGTTAGTAACATTAAAATGTAAAAAGTTAGGAAAATAAATAGATAAAGAACACAAGCACAAGTTTTTCTTACCTGATATTTTAAAAGAAAGTTGAAGAAAAGTTAAAAGGTTAAAAAAACATAAACAAAAACATTTCGCTTCGTCATATTTATTTTGACGATCAGATCACGTGATCAACATATATAATTTTAAGAGTTGATTTTTACCGCATAATTCTGGCCAAATTATAATTCCAGTCAGAACTAATTATGTAACCTAATAAAAAGTTTTTAACTTTTTTTTAGTTACTGTACAAGATGATACAAAAATTTCACCAATGGGTCTGGAAGATGCCCATTTATAAGCAATTATGCAGTTGAATTTTGTGTAACCTTACTGCATAAATCACTTAGAAAAATCTATTTGTAATTGTTAAAAGTGGTCTATTTGACCCTAAAAGTAGTCAAATGTAACCATACAGGTAAGATGGAAAATAGTATAGTAGGATTACCCAAAAATTGCTTTCCGTATCCTAAATTTAAGTCTATTTTCAAGTTGTACAATAATCACAATTTTTATTGTACAAAAATTGAATGTTTTCTGTATCCTAAATTTAAGTTGTACAAAAATTGCATACTTTTAATATGCTTTGAAAAACTTCATAGCTATTTTTATCCAAAAATCTGCAATAATTGTACAATTTCCACACGGACTTGAACAAACATTGTACAAAAATTGGATGATTTTTTTTTCATAGGGCTAGTGGTCTTTCAATTGAATTAGAATTCATACATTTATAAGCTTAACATTCAGGAGTTCCCTTTCCAAATTCTGGTCTTGCCCACTACATATGGCTAAGTTTTTTATTGTAAAAAGATAGTTTTCCTGATGATAATAATGCACCTAGACTTTAAATATCGGACGGTGATATATATGGTTCTCTATTTAAGACTTCTGGGGCAATATATGGATGGCATTACTCCATATACTTTATCATCTGATCTTTGTTCATTGCTAGTCTTGATAATTCAAAATCTGAAATATAAGATATACTGTATCCTCATCAGCTTGTAAGATATTTTCACTATGAAAATTTTTATGAAAGTATTCTAATTCATGTAATTGCATTAAGTTTATTGATATTTGACGCAGTCAAAACCATTTTAAAACATAATCATCTTTACCATACATCTATACACACGATTTTTTTTCAACAAAAAAAAAAATCTATTTCCACATTATTAATTCAAAGTGGCACTGTTCGTTCTGATTGTGGCACTTGTATTTATTTTTTTATCACTCACATGTATTAATAAAATACCGTTCATTCTTACTGTATCACCTGATATGTTAAAAATTACGAAATTCTGAGACTGTAACATGAAATCACGACCTAAAAAAGTTTAGCATTTTTTTTATATGAAGTTTTGTAAAGCATGATTTTGGCGTAAATGATCAAACTGACGGTTCAGATCAATTTGTGCGATAATCGATTTCTTATATATCCTCAAAATTTTTTTCTCAATTCATCCATTCGTGCTACTCTCTTTGTATTACTCTTTATATAAACCTAATTTATTAGATATCGTCTCCAGTTCTACGGGTAACATTAAAACGGAAATTGTTCTCCTCGCTGAATCTCAAAAGGAAAAAGCTAGTTTACTTGCCTATTTCACTAAACATAAAGATCAACAATCGTTCTCAGACTTTGGCAATTTTGATGCGGATGAAGACAAACTTAAATATCTTAGGGCTTCTTGAATGGTATGCTTCACAGAAATTATACAGAAGTATAAGAATAATGTGGCTTAAATTCTCGTCTTCTTTCATATTTTCCAATAATATCGAATACTTACTTACTTATTCTTGTGCTTTCTTTCCTCCTGCTTATCATCAAACCCGCCCAAAAACATTCGCGTTACCTTAGAGTAATCCGTTGCTGGTATCTCATTTCTTAACCAGTAATAAATTCTTTTGTAGGTAATTTCCTGATGTAGCTTCTCTCTAGAAAGGAATCAAGGAGCTTAGTCTTAGAGTTTTAGGAAGTGGAAGTATCGAGCCTTTCATAACAAAAAGAAATAACGAAAATTTTGTTTACTCAATCATAAAGATTTTCTGATAAGCGGTTAACTTTTTTTTAAACCTATGATGCATCCATTACAATATCAAATTTTAGGTAATAAATCCAATAAGAAAGAATTCCTTTTATCTTACAACAAATTAGGTTTGAACTTTTTTCGATCTGCTGTATACAATCCGTAAATCATAAACACAAATCTGCTGCTGAATGTTTTCGTAATCGTACTGCGGCGATTAACAACACGTGTTAATGTAAACATCACGACATCACAGGAGCGGCAGATAATTGATTACACGTGACCAAGGTACGATGTACTACACACTTGACTGAAAGTTTTCATAGTGTACACGTCCTTCACTTCGCTCTGGACAATAAAATTTAGTTTATTTATGACATATAAAAAGAAAGTAAATTAAATTAAATATAACTTAATTATTTATTTTTATCACTATCACATTTTAGAATTTTCTTGGTTTAAATTTAACAATTAATTCTTTACAAATTGTAATGACACTAGAACTAGATTTAAGCGGTGCATTCATATCTGCCAATTCAAGATCATATTTTCTATAAATTGATGCTAATAAACATTTTAATTTTATCATCGCCAATTTTCTCCCAGGACAGATTCTAATTCCACCTCCAAACATAGTAAAAGAATTTTTAGCATATTTCTTTTCAAGTAAATATTTATCACTTTCATCAATTTTGTAAAATCTATCAGGATCGAATTTTTCAGGATCAGTCCAATAATCTTTACGTCTCATTGTTGCATAATAAAATATTGAAAATGAAGTTCTTTCTGGCCAATTAAATCCTCCAACAATATCTTTTTCATTATTTACACGACCAATTGAAAAACTTAAAGGACAATTTCGATTCACTTCTTTAATAATTGCATCACAATATTGTAATTTATCAAGATCACTATATGTTATGGATTTTGTTCCAAGAACTTCATCTAATTCTTTTTGAAAACGTTGTTTCACCTCAGGATAACGTCCGAGATAATACACGATGAAGCAAAAAAAATTTGCTGTCTAAAATTTTTTTTTTTAAAAAAAAAAAAAGTTAAAATACGTAGAATTTTTTTTAAAAAAAAAAGATTTTTTTTTTTTACTTACAGTAATAGTTCCAGCGCCCATGGAATCGATTATACTTCCAAATATCTCTTCATCTGTCATCGGTCTTAATAAATCATCATCAGCATGTTTTACTGGGTTGATATCACGTTTCGTATTTGCGGTTATGTGAGACGTTAACATATCATGACGAAGAGGTTGATCTAAAGGTGTATTCTCAATTTCAATCCTTCTTTTTTTAATAATTTCATATACTTTATTATATAAATAATCTCTATTTTTCAATAAACCCTTCACTTTTCCACGAATAAAAGGAATATAATGACGCATGAACCTATTAAAAATCACAAAATAAACAATTCCTTTAAAAAAAGTATCTATTGATTGAATAAAATTTTCAGATTCTTCAACTTTTTCTCTTTCTTTTTCATTTAAAACAATAATATTATTTTCATGAGCAATATTTTTATAATAAGAAACTACAGTATCATTTTTCACACCAGTCGAAATCCTAAAAATTATTTCATTTGAGAATCTATGCATCCATTTAATAAGATCCAATTCATAATTTTCTCCAAGATTATTCCAACAAGATTCCATTTCATTCCATAATTCATTAGTCCATTCAACAGCTTGATAATTAAAACTTGGAGTCATCATAGCTTGAGTATAAAATTGACGTTTGTATTTCCAAGATTTTGGATCATTATTACTGGCTAATCCTTGTAATCCATATTCAGCGGATCCTTCAAAATGGATATTTCTAAAAGGATATTTAGTTTTTGTTGAAGATATATTCATATTTTCAATTAAATCAATACTACATAATACGATCAAACGTTTCCCTGCCATATTTATTTCAAACATATCTCCATATTTTTTATGCATTAACATTAACCATTCATTAAATTCAAATCCTCTTTTTTGATGAACGTTACCAAGAATTGGAAGTGGAAATGGACCGGGTAAAGGATTTGGACGAATGAAATAATTATAATAATATCTTGCTACATAGAAAATTATACAAACTAACAAAAAAGAAAATACATCAAAAAATCCGAATGAAAATGGAATTGTGATTATCATTTTTTCTTTTTATGTGAAAATAGGAATGTAAAAATTAAAAATTAGGACCTTTACATATTTTATATATATACCGGAAATTTAAGTTACTTTTTTTTAAAAAAAAGCACTTAATAATAAACTTAAACTTTGTAGCACTGTAAAAAAACTCTAAAATAGCATGATTAAAGGACCACAACGAACTCTGGATAATAGTTTGACCGTTTTTTTTTAATATGAAAACCAAAAAAACCAGAAATTAATCGTCAATCTACATAAATTCGGATAAGTTTTGCAGATCTTAATTTTTATCCGGGTAAAATTTTTACCTTATCTAATTATGGGCAAAATTTCATTAAAATTTCTTCACGGAGAACCATATTTGTATTCACTTTTTAAAATTAAGTTTTCCGGATAATTTGCAATATTTTGTTGGGCGTTTTTTGCATAAATTTAACTATCCAAAATTTTTTATTGATAATCATTTATAGATATTTTTATGTCAATCATTAAACTTTGGTTATTATTTTCTCCATTTGACGACCATTTCTTAAATTATCATTGATCTACATGCAGAATTGCAAAAAAAAAAAATCCTAAAACGTCCATTTAATCTTTAAATATACCGTAACGTAAAAAGAAAATTGTGATAGACATAGACAATTGACATGGAGATTTTTTGTGCTAAACTTATAAGAATGAATGTTAGTAAATCATGAATATTTAATTATGTTGATCAATTTTACCCGAACAAAAATTCAGGTCATATCAGATATCTGATATGTTGAGACTGGATAATTAAGACTCTACCCACGTGACCGGTGACATTTAAGGGGACGTGAAAAAAAATAATTTTGGGAGGTTAAATATAAACAGTGAAAACGCGGTGCCGGTGATGAATATTTTTAGGTCACGTGGGGAGTAGAAAATTTATTGGTGTTACTGGGAAAGTAGGATTTTTCAAGGTCTGGCTCATTTCACCGACAATCATTTCACCGACAGTTTTGCTAGCCTAATCCCAACCCTGATTTTCTTGCCTACCCTAACTTTAATCCTAAATTCATTTGTCGGTGAGATGATGGTCGGCGAAACATTTGTCTGCGAAATGACCCTGTCAAATGATTGTCGGTGAAATGAATGCGACCCTTAAAGGGGTCTTAAAGGGTCTGGGGTATCATATTACATAAAATTATTTAATTATTACTCAATTTTGCAACGTATTAAGATAAAGATATTAGTTCTTGCGAAATATTTTAAAATTATTATCACACATATTAATAGAAATTTATTCATTACAAAGTATATCACGTCTAAAAAAATTAAAAAATAAGATAATAAGTATTAGGATAATGAGTGTCAGGATTTTGAACTTTTGGGATTATGGTTTGTTAGGATTGTGAGCGTCGAGCTTGTGTTATAACGGGATTCTGATCGTCGGATTTTGAACGGGTACCCTTTTGAACGGTCTACCTCTATCTAGTGATATGAAAGAGTCAAAATGAATTAATTGTACTTAGTTAAAAAAAAAATCCGATCTCAACGATTTATAAATTATAAGCGTTAATATTGTAGTGAATTCTTTTAACTTAATTGATTTTATTAAAATATTAAACAGGTTATATTATATTATTTATGCTATTATATAAAAATATCTCAAAAAATCAATTTAACTAATTAAAACTTTCTTGTAACCCATTCAAAACACGTCCATACTAAGTATAACGATCGTATTTTCAATTATTTTTTTTCTGTTTTAGAATCAGAAATATATCTACTTAATGAATAGTTTGCAATAGTGTGGAACATTGACTTCATTTAGTTCATTATAGTGTCATCTAACCGATATTTGCTACCTATTCACTTTTATTTTTGCAAACACGGATTGACGAATGTACGTAAATCAATTAAAGTTGTTTATGTATGTTGAAATTTATAACATAACAAATATGAATTAGTCAGGTTAATTGAATTCAAATTCAAAACTATTTTGTCTACTTGGTACATGTAAAATAAGATTATTAATCAAACATACAACAATAGGACCCGTAAAAGCGAAAAGGTAACAATTTGAATCAAAATAACTGTAGATCATTTCTTTTAGATAATTCCGGCCAGAATTTATGCCACTTTGAATTCATCTACTGGCATTATACATCTTTGGCCAGAATTAAGCGCGCGGATTTTTATGATGAAATGGAAGACGAAACGCATAAGGTTCTTAAAAATACTCCCATGTTTTGATAATCCTTTTTGTTAAACAGAGCAAGATAACGATTAAGATAGTAGTGAGGATAGTGATTAACGAAGGAAAGGGTGAAGGGAGCATAAAAGACCATACAAATATAATGCGTTACTAGAGATACGCTCTTTTATATTGTTATCCAAAATGGAATAACTACTACTAATTAGCGCTTATTAACAAAGTAATAAAATCTTTATCTTTTCATTTTGTTTTGTTCTAAAATGTTTGAAAAATGTTATCAGGTGCTATTAACGTTGATTATTACGTAAGGTGCCGTCTGAATTCCCCAACTAGGAAAAAAAAAATTAAAAAGAGGGAAAAGATGGATGCAAGTCCGAAGCGGGAGTGAAAGACTTATATGTATCATAATCCCGAAAAATTTGCTATCAGGGCATCCAGGATGATCCTGTATTATATTAAAAAACTCATTAACGTTAACCGTTCGGTTAAACTGGTAATAAATACGTAATATTTACTCGATGGTATCATTTTAAAAAAGACTGAATTCTTTTCAGCAAAAATACTTATTCATGTCGACTCGATTTTTAAAATTCCTAGATTCCTAGAAGATTTGCATGATAGCAAATTTATAATAAGATGATCGGCAAGTCAAACATTGGATTATCCTTGACGTCTGATTCATTTCACGGACAAACTTTTCACCGGCAGTTCATTTCCCATTTTTTCTTTTTTCTCATCACGGATAAAAATAATAAAAATGGTAAATGAAGTGCGATAATGATAAAAATTGTACATATTAATAATTACTAAAATTATAATATTTAAAAAATGTCCTGTCAGTGAGACGATCATATCAGTGAAATGTTTTGAAGTAATTGTCGTAATTGTAATTGTTGATTAAGTTTCAAATTTTACATATACCATTTTATGTAGTTTTCAGTAACCAACATGAATTTCATGTGAATTTATTTTATGTATAAAATAAATTCATATAAAATTATAAAGATAAGTATTACATTTAATAATATAAATTTGTAAATTTGTAAATAAGATTTTATTTTTAAAATATCACATAAATATATTTTATTAACTAATCATCCGATATATATACAATAGGTTGCCGGGCAAATCTATTTAAAATTCGCAAAATATCTGAACCTTAATAATAAAGTTAAAATAATCAGGTGAATATTAGGAGAAACGTTGAGAGCGATTACATGCACCTTGGAAATCTATTGGTCCAATCTTCTCATAATGTGATTGGAGTGAGAAAAATTTAGTAATATTTTCTTTTTTAAAAAGAAAATTATAAAGAAAAGTAAGTTTCGCGACAAAACTTACTTTCCTTATGGTTCCGATACCCAATTTGATCCTTAATTTCCAACTCAAGAAATGTTAATAAAGATCTTACTGACGTTCCTTAACTCCCGATTCTTTAACTCTACTCTGAAGTCCAAGACTGTCCAAGTAAGACCTATAAGAATAAAAAAGAAAGGAGCATTAATAAAGTCTTATTAATGATTTCCAAAGTCCAATAATTCAGGACAATCAAGATTCTAGATAGAAAAAATATAAAGAATAGGAATATTGGTAAATTTTCATAATCTTCTCCGACACCTAATTCGAACCTCACCTTACTCTAAACAAAATAAATTCCATATGTTCTTAGTCCATAATACCTAAAGTAATCTTTTTTAATTAAACAAGTAATGGGAGCTTCTGGCTAAATTTGATGGTCAAAAAAATATATATTTATATAAATCACAAATAAAAAAAAATAAGAATATAAAAGGACTTAGTCCATTAATTCTATTTGAATCACATCATTGCTGACTAAATTACCAGTTGTTAATTAGATAACATCGGTATTAACTAAATTAAATATAGAAATAAAAAAAGGTTGGACTGACTTAAAAAGGAAAAATAGAAAAAAAAGATTACCAATTTACCATAACATGTCAACACCACCTTTTAATTCGAAAATATCAATAATATTGGAAAAAATTACCAATTTTGCCGTAGTATGTCAATCCTGCTGATCATTTCATTTGAGCGAGCCTAAAAGAATAAACCATTGTGATATCAGGGGCTAACAGAACAAATGGAAATACTCACGTGACAATGATCGTAAAAGTAGGACAAGTATTTACCTTGCTGATCGTTTTAAAATTTTCCCATTTGGCCCATTTGATCAAGCTTAAAAGAATTTTTTATTTCAAAATAATAATAATTTATAAACAATTATTTTATTTTATTTTTTATTTTATTTATTTCTTTAATTAAAAAATGACTAAGAAATGTAATTTACCGTAGCACACCGCCAGAATTTACCATCTTAATTTTCCTAAAATAATTGTACTTTTTTTAGTATTGGTGAAATCATATTTATTAATAAAAAAAAAAAAAAAGAATTGTTGAATATTCCTTTACCACCGAATCTAGCATAGATTAATAATTTCTTAAAATGTCAGAAATGGCATTGGGCGGAATGTTAGGCTTTAATGAAATGAGCTGACTGACTGAATGAACTGAACTGAACAAACATAATGTTAACGTTAACGTTAACGGCTATAAAATTTGTTTTCAAATTAATTCCTTTTTTAGAAAATCGACCAACCATTTTTAGTATTACACATTTTTGATAATATATAAAAAAATTCGTTATCAACATTGAATTACATATTAATTCTGAAAGATTCTTAAACAGACTTTTGCTCTAGAAAAGTAAAAAAATTTTAAAGTCATCATCATCATACTTTTTTAAATTATAAATAGACTTTTCAATGATGTTTACTTCACAAACATTTTTAGTATTTCATGTCCTATTAAATATGTTAAAATTTTTGACGATTAAAAAATCTTTTTTCAACACTATAATATAACTAGGAAAACGGAAATCGTTTAAGTCTTTCGCGTTGCAATAACTCGCAAGTGTTGCATGATCTACGTTCCAATCGTTCTTTGGCATATTTTGAGGGGTCAAATAGATAGTGTTACACAAATCGTGATACATATTCAAAAAAAGGAAATAAAATTGTCGATTGTGACAGGGACAAAAACAGGGGTTAAAACGGACAACAATTAGAAGAATTTTGCAGAACGATATATAATTTATATAATTAAAAGGGGGAACTTTTATTTGATCATACAATTATTATTTCATCACCAAAATAAAGGAGGTAGGTTATTAGAGCATCAAGGAATTTAAAAATTAAAAATAATTATAAAAATTAACTTTAACATTACATATATTTATATACTACAGATAAATTTGATTCAATAAACTTTAAAAATTTCTAAAAGAAAATAATTTCAAGAAAAAGCAAATATTATTGAGTAGTGGTTTTAAGTTCATGTTTTAGTTTTTTGAAGTTCTAATATCTCATGCTCTATTTTTAATTCATGCTCTTCAATTTCTAGTTGACATTCTTTACATACACTATTTGTCGATAATAAGCTGGATCATCCTGACAGAAAATTTTTCAGATGTGTAGGATCATCGACTAATATTTATCTTCCCCCTTTTAACGGTTCCGTTTCCCTAGTTAAGGAATCCCGACGGAATCAACATAATAACCAACGTCAATAGTACATGATAACATTTTATAAACATTTCAGAATGAAAACAAAATGAAAAGATTTTATTATTTCGTTAATAAGCGCATTCAAAATCTGTGTAGACATTATTTAATCATCATTCTATTTTGAATAACAATTTTAAAAGAATGGAATTGATAAAATTTTCATATGGCTTCTGAAAAATTTTTCCACATATAGAAATCTTATAAAACTTTTAAATGTAGAGATTTTCTTAGGCGGAAAGTATAAATAAGTATACGATATAATGACATATAACAATTATTATCATAACAATCATAATTTCATCATTAATCAGAGATTTTCTATTTTATTTACTTTACTTGTATTTTCCCTTATACATGTTGATAAAACTCTCGGTTGTTATCCTATTGGAACTACGAATTGTACTATACTACTGATTTAGGATTCGGTATGTCAATAAAAAAATTTTGACTTTATTTTTCTTTTGCTCAACAATTTGGTGAAAAAAAAATAATTCATTTTTTTGTTTTACATAGATGATGTTAATATTATAGATACCAAATGGTTATTAAATGCGCCAATACTCAACATCACGACTTATTTCCTGATGGTTATTATAGAAAAAATAATGCTGCACAAGCATATGGTCACTTTACTTTCGGCAATTATAAATTACATTATAGATTTTTAAAAAAAGCCTATATTTGTTAATAACTATCATTGCGATCATGAGAGAAGTGATAAAAAAAATCCATACGTTTCATACCGCCAATATGATGAAAGCCAAAGGCCTGAACAGTGAACAAGGAACATGAGTTGAAATTTGGCTTGCAATATATTGGAATTGTTATACTATAAATGCAGATGGAGCTGTCATAAAAATGTATTCTACAATTCTCACGTAGTATACGAATCTAATGATCAAAATTAGCGATATATCTGGGGATCACGAAAGTTTGAAAAAATCATTTTTTATAAAACTCAGTTAATACATAATTTAGTATTTGAAACAGTTTAAGAATCGGTTTATCCAATCAAAAAGCATATTATCTTAGTCTATTGATTATTTTATCTATTCTATATCATGTATTAAGAAATTTATTTTTTTATTTTTTTATTTTATAAATAAATTTGAGTTTTGGGATCAATTATCTTGGCCAAAATTAAACATAGTGCTGACCAAAAATCGGGAATAATTCAGGCCAAAACCGTTCGATAATTTTCAGTTTGAACTAATTGGTTAGAGAACTGACATGATATAATGGAACTGAACTGGAACTACTGGAACTGATCTTTGTAGGATTCGATCGGAGTTTATTATCATATAAAAAATTTTATCCTTTATTTTTGTAAAAACTCTGTAAAAATGAGCCTTTCACGGATCCATTCACGGAAAATGTAAATAATTCGATAAATTCCGTGATATAAGGTTATTAATTCCGGAAATATGAGTCTTTTGCGGAAAAAAGATGGAATATAAAAACACGGATCGACTTTTTTTACAGTGTTCCTTGTTGGCTTTACTAATTTCACCTCAGTTTATTCGATATCTTAGGAACTGTGGGTATATAGAGATCGACATCGGGGTGTACCGCTGAGGTAAGGTCACATAATTACGCCAAATCAACGTTAAAACATTACACCAGTATTACACCCGTGAGTCGTGTAATACACCCCTTGCTCATAAAGAAAGAATGTACTACTCGAATACAGACAAAATTTAACATTACAGGCACGCCTAATTATATATGAATAATTATATATCGCTCGAGAAATTCGTCAAATTAATATTTATTTTCAAATCGCTTGTTGCGAATAAACTTCTAAATTTATTGTTACGTAATTTAAAATCCTCTAAGAAGAAATAATAGGGAAAATGGTTAAAAAAAATTATGAAATATCCCTCCAAAATGTTTAAAATTGGATTTTTTTGCGATGGTGCTACACTGGTGCCACGTTACGTAAATTTAAATGACAAGTAATGTATGACAAAAACTTTATGCGTCAATCTCCGGTACTCCGACAAGTGGCATTAATGAGCTCATATTATGTGTTAATTATCTCTGTTGTTTTAAAGTTTAATCGTCTTATTGTATCGGAATTATTTTTTGGATCATTCAAATTTCTGAAGCCGGAGTTCTAATTTTTTTTTAAAAAAAGGAATATTTTTTTTATTTTTAAACAAGGAACAATTTTTTTTTCATCCTTTTAAAAAAGGAAGTATTTTTACTTATTTGACATTTTTGTCATATTATCGGAAAAATATAATAAAAATCGTTAATCCATATCAATTTGTATTGTCTTTAATAAGTTTTGTAACGCGCAAAAAAAAAAAATTAATTAAATCAATTGCCAAGATTACATGCATAATGTTTGTTGTACAATTTTTCTTTCTAATTCCATTAGATAATAAATATTAATATTAAATATTCACTTTTATACGAATAGGGAACTTCTCCTTTGCGCATATCTTTTACATAAAGATAAATGCCAAGAAAACGCCAAGCGGTATAGTTACAGTACAAGTAAAATTTGTGCGTTGTTATTTGTTATACCGTGGCGTTCACTTATGTACTGGAAATAGTTGATTCGCATGTATAAAATTTCTCTTCGGTGATATATATATATTTTTTTATAAAAAGGCAAAGATTCCAACTCACTCTATCGCCAAGAAATTGTAATCAAAATACTTAGATCTCAATTTACTTGCAAAATATCTTTTAAATCATCAATTATTGATATTCATCAAAGAAATCATGAAGCATAATCTTATTTTAGTAGTCGTCTTATTGGCCACGCTTTCAATAATCAACGCTATTCCACATCAACTTAATAAAAGAGCAACCAACTTTACAACATGTCCTTCAGGATTATCTCCAAACACTTTTACTGCAACACTTCAACCCGATCCTCCCACTGCTGGAGACTGCGCTATTACTGCTACCGGAACATTTGTGATTCCAGAAGGTTCTAAATTGCTCGTTCAAGTTTTCGATAGTACTGCTAACGCAGTAGGAGAACCCTTAACAGCCGATATTTGTACTAACGGTGTAGATACATGTCCAACCGATGGAACCGATGGAACCGATGGAACCGATGGACCTACTCCCTTCAACATTATGGATACAGTTACAATACCTGCTGATGTACCCCAACCACCATTTGCTCTTGCAATTTCAATTGTTGATACAACCGGCAATATTTTAGGCTGTACCTTTGGTACTACTGGTTAATTAATTAGATGATTTTATACCTTATTAAATTTTTATTTATTAATTAATATGTAATAATTTGTAATCAGATAGAACAATAAATAAATTTCAATCAAACTTATAAATGAGTATTTTATTTTTTTAAGAAATTGTCGTGCACATGAAATTTTTTAATATAATGTCGTTATTATAATTTATCCTGTCATATTGGTTGAAAATTACAAGAAAATTATTTGTGAATCAATAATGTTTGTTTCAAGTTGATTAATGTTAAGAGACATAATTAATCAATCACAAAGTTTTAAAATTTAAAATGGTGAAAAGGAATAAAATTCAACGAAAAATATATAAATTGTATTATTGTCGGTATTAACACAAAGTTTTTAGGATCATAATAAAGAATTTTGCTGTATTTTGCTCTAAATGAAGTATCATCATATAAAGATATGTAACCTTCTTTCAAAAATTGTACGAAAGTAAAAGAAATACAGAAGAAAGAGAAAACATTCTATCATTTCAAAATTCAAATTATGTTATGATATTTTCAAATCATTCATAAATTTAACCATATAGCTTTTTTGTTACATTTTTTAAAATTATTTCTATCGCACTATATATATATTTTTTTTATATCTATATTAGTAACATTCATATGAAAAAGTTTGTAACGAGGCGGCAGGGTCAACGCATCATTTTTACATCATGTCAAGAAAAACTCAGTAAGATTCGGTATAACTCAAAATAAAACAAAAACCGCACTCCGAATCTAACAATATAGTTTTTACCTTATTCTGAATTTTACCAAGTTTTACCGAATGTACCGAGTTGTCTTCTCGTATATTATGAAAGGGGTGTTACCTCTAAAATTATATCACGTGATAAACTAAACTTTATGGCACCCAGAAATTCTTCGAACTCGGCCGGTGTTATGCACTGACATGTGATCAAATCATCAAAGCCATTTAATGACGCGACATTTTACGCATGAAATTTCTTGAAACATGATTGGATGATAAAAATTTTTGTTCTTAAAATAAAAACCCGTGCGAGAACCAATTTTTTTACTTTATGTCGCCTAACGCAAGACGGGACGTCAACCTTTCCAATTATTAAAAAACATCAATTTTAAAAATTCGAATTTAAGCCCAACGTAAATTTTAAATTTAAATTTAAATAAATGATTTGGTTAATTTCTTAAACAAATTATCAAAAAACGTTAGTTTAAGATATTCAAGATTCAGGTAATTTTAATAAAATAGCTTGCATATTTCTTTTGTTATCAACCCCCATGATTTATGCGATTCGATGTTTATTTCGACAGACATCTGCTGTACTCTCAACTAAACTTGATTGGAATAAATGTAACTTTTAAATTTTGTAAGAAAGTAAAGATAAATTTCTAAATGATTTCATACATCCCATATACTATTATAATTATCCAATTCTAATATTGTATTGTATTTGCGTGCTTGATCAATGAACTTTCAAGAGTTCATAGAATGAATTGATGATTTTCTGAATAATACAAAATTTCGATACGAATATTAAATAATTGGTTTTGGATTTCAATTAACTACAAAATTGATACTTCTTGAATCAATAGCAAGTTCCATAGCTTTAACTGACGTACATATTTCTGTCAATTTAATTAAAATTCCATTATTTACGTTAACAGAACAACTAAAAAATTCAATTTCTGAAGATAAAGTAGAGCTCCGGGAATGAGTTTTAGGCATATAAAAGTGGGTTAGTCTTGACTCTGAACAATTGACTTTTTAGTATATTTGCAAATACTATTGATTATTTTTTCAATTGCATTTAAATTTATATAGTTATATAAAGGTTAATAGTATACTTGAAATGAATTTATCAAAAAATGAATATTTAATTCTTTAAGTCAATTTTTTTTATTTGTCCGAGTTTCCAAGGATTTTTCCATAAAATAAGAATTATTATTTCATACCAGTTTTATTAACTGTAAGATAGGGATAAAGTGTTTTTATCTTTGCCAAAGGATATTCAGTTCAACATATTTTTTTTATGTGTATTAAAGTATTTATACTATGATCAGAATGACGTAAAGTCAACTTAATTGTATATTTAAACCGATTAATGTCATTCAATTTTCTAATAACATATGATTTCGTGGTTATAGTCAAAACAAATTTCACGCTTCATACACTCAAAAAGCCGATATCTTGAAAAAAAATTCGGTTTAACTTTATTTTTTTTTTTTAAAGAAAAAATTTACTAAAAAAAAATTTCAAAGGAAACTTACCTATTCAAAGCCTAAGGACGAGGCGATATCTACAAAAAAATAAATTTCGAAGGCGAAGAGCAAAGTTGAAGCTGATATATACCTTTTTTTTTATTTTAAAAAAAAATAAAGTTCCGAAAGAAATGAAACATTTTTGACTTTACTAATTAAAGCGTAACATCAAAGCCGATATATATCTAAAAAAAAAAGAAAAAAAAATTATTTTTAAAAAAAAACAAAAAAATAAAGTTTCGAAAAAATGAAACTTTCGAAACTTTACCGATCCAAAACCTATAAAAACTGAAGCTAATAAATACCTAAAAAAGAAAAAAAAATCAAAAAAATACAAAAAGAAAAAATGTTTCAAAACGAACAAAATTTACCGATTCAAAATGCAAAATCGAAACCGATATCTAAAAAAAGAGAGAATAATTTTTTTTAGAAAGGAAAAAAATAGTTTAAATATGAATCTAATATAATCTATATAATATAATAAAAAAATACATGTCGATCTTCTAACGTTTAGATTAGCCTGTATAAATCATCTTTAAATTGTGTAATGCATGATTCATCTGCGCCTAACAGTACTACTAATTATATACTAGCAGTTACCCGTTGCTTCGCACTGGGACTAATGAGTTTGTTTAAATAGGCCGAGAACAATTTGGTATTATAATGTAATACTAAGTAAATTAAAAATGGTTACAGTTTTTTGATTAGTAGAATGATATAAATTATATTTAGAATTATATAATTATAGTGCATTAGAGTAATTAGTAAATATCTGCTTATGAAAAGAGTACATAGTTATAATAAGTATTTGTAATCAATAAATGGGCTAATTTAATTTTTTTTTAATTTCAGTAATAAAATAGCAATGATTAGCAATTTGTATTAATGCTATAATTTACTGATTAATGAATTTTAACCATAATAATATAGATCAAATATTTCAGGAGCAGACAGACCACCCATTACACAATTCAAATTATTTATACAAGATAATCTAAATGTTACAGAATTTTTTTAATTATATAGATGAACAGTATTTATGTATTTATGATATTAATTTAACTTACTTTAATATGTGCTATATAATGAAAAAATTATATGATATATCATATGAAACAGAGATCAAAAATATATTTTATTATGTGTGTCTACTAATTTTATTACAGATTACAAATAAAATTGTAAAATCATACGAAATTATAATATTATAGATAATTTTAATTTTATAATAGCTTTTTTAAAATATTTTTTTTTTGGTAATTTGATAATAAAGTTACGATAATTTCAAATGATTAACATTCATAGTACGATTTAATGATTTATTATATAATAAAATGATCGGCATTCATAGTACTAATGATAAAATGATGATATAAATAAATGGTAATGATCGGTATTCATGATATTGGTTTACCGATCCAAAAATTTAAACAGATAATAAATCAATAATACAGACAAATAAACATTATATCATTATACAATTTTAAAATTTTTTATATGACTAATCTAAATATGACCCATTTTTTTTAAATAATAGATAAAAGGGTTTAAAATTTGAATGCACCTGCACCCACTCACGTGACATGATTTTAAAATTTTATTGGTGATAATCAATCTATTTTTTATTTTTTACTTTGTTTAGGAACGTTTTTTAATTACTCTTTTTTTGTAGGAATACCCTGAAGATGAAATGGACCCCTAAAAATAAAAGGTGTGTTTTTTTCAATTTTTTTTCCCATTCATTTCGTTCAAGAACAACGTTCCTAACATTCTTTCGTAATTTTTTTTTTATAGGAACACTCCCTGGAGACTCTTAAAGACAAAAGGTAAAATTCTTTTTCATTTATATTTGTTAATTTCGTTTAAGAACATTCCTAACATTCTTCAATAATTTTTTTTTATAGGAACACCTCCTGGTGACTCTTGGAGATGAAAGGTAAGTTTTCTTTTTTTGTTTCTTTTATTAATTTCATTTAAGAACATTTCCTAACATTCTTTGAATAATTTTTTTTATAGGAACGCCCCTGGTGACTCTTGGAGGCGAAAAGTAAGTTTCTTTTTGTTTCTTTTGTTAATTTCATTCAACTAAGGATGTTCCTAACATTCTTTCAATAATTTTTTTTGTAGGAACGTCCCCTAGATAAAAGATAAGTTTTCTTTTTTCGTCTCTTTTGTTAATTCCATTTAAGAATGTTTCTAATGTTCTTTCAATAATTTTTTTTTATAGGAACGCCCCTGGTGACTCTTGGAGACGAAAAGTAAGTTTCTTTTGTTTCTTTTGTTAATTTCATTCAAGGACGTTCCTAACGTTCTTTCAATAATTTTTTTTGTAGGAACATCCCCTAGATGAAAGATAAGTTTTATTTTTTCGTCTCTTTTGTTAATTCCGTTTAAGAATGTTTCCAATATTCTTTCAATAATTTTTTTTTTATAGAAATGTCTCCTGGAAACTCTTGGAGACGAAAAGTAAATTTCTTTTCATTTCTTTTGTTAATTTCATTCAAGAATGTTCTATTAATGTTCTTTTAATAATTTTTTTATAGGAATGCCTCCCAGAGACTCTTGGAGACAAAAGATTTTTTGTTTTCTTTTACTAATTTTGTTTAAGAATGTTTCCTAACATTCTTTTGATGGTTTTATAGGAACACCACCTGGAGATGAAATGGACTCCTGGAAACAATTAATAAATTTTAACAACAGAAAAAGGTAGTAGAAAACAATAAGACTTATATAGTTATATCAGTTTATTAACTGTTTCAAAAAAAAACTTTAAAAAGCCTTTTCATTTCAAAAAATTAAATAATGAATAAGATTATTTGATGAATAAATAAACGATAACACTGATCAGCCAATCAAATTTAAAATACAATAAATCATGTGATAGGGTGCAGTGTACGTTCAAGGTATTATTTTTATTTTTATTTTAATAAACATACTTATTTAGGTAAAAATTAATATCCTATAATTCTGTAAATTTTGAAAATTTTGAATAATTGATAATAGTATTTTTCATGTGATTGTAAAATGATTATCAAATTCATGATAAAAAAACTCCCATTCCTGCGCCTGATCTATACTTAAAAGTTAAGATGATTTGATCAGCAAATGTTAATTACTAAAGTATAAAAAAAATAATTTTAGTTCCCTATTACTGGTGTTTTGCTAATACTAATTAGTATTAATCTCACTTTTTTAATCAATTAATATTTATCTCATTTGTTATTTTTTCAGTACAATTATTATTATTTGGTTAAATTGAAGTTTACAGATTTTTGCGAGATTATATATTTTTTTTTTAGTTGATTTGAAATTTTTCTTATACTTTTTTTTATTATAACATATAGAAAAAATTTTTGTAAATATATTTATTCAAAATAATCTTATTTAATGAAGCAAATATTAAAATTTAAGTCTCACATTTTCGATTTTAAAGAAAAAATTACTGTATTTATTTTTAATGAAGTGATACAAATAAAAAAACAATAACAATAAATAAAAAAGATAAGTAAATTACAATGATCAAGAAGAAAGATGCTAATAAAAAATGAAATAACAATGGAGTAATGGAAAGTAATAGAAGAAAGGGAGTAAAAAAGAGTAATGAGAAGTGATAGGAAACAAAAAGGAAAAATAGGACATGATGGATGATGAAAAAGAGTGATGAGAGACAAAAAGAAGTAATGGGAAGATAAAGAGGAGTGATGAGAGACGAAAAGGAGTGATTGGAGACGAAGAGAGTGATTGGAGACAAAAAGGAGTGGTGGAAGACGTAAAGGAGTGATGGGAGACAAAAAGGAGTGGTGAGAGACGAAAAGGAGTGATGGGAGACAAAGAGGAGTGGTAAGAGATGAAAAGGAGTGATGGGAGTGATGGGAAACGAAAAGAAGTGATGAGAGACAAAAAGAAGCGATGAGAGACAAAAAGAAGCGATGAGAGACAAAAAGAAATGATAGGAAGTAAACAGGAGGAAAAAAGAAATAATGGAAAATGAAAAGATGTAATAGAAAATAATGGGATACGAATAATTAGAAGTAATATGAGGTGAAAAATAATGAGACTTTACTTTGAATCAATGTCAATTTCCAGTATGTGTTGCATTCTCAATAAAAATTAATAAATCACAAGGGCAAACTCTGAGCAGGGTTGGTGTTTACCTACCTGAACCTGTCTTTACACATGAGCAATTATATGTTAAGGTTTTTATAGATAATGGTGAGAACTGCAAGACAAGAAACATTGAATACTGTGAAATATTTCATTCTATAAATAGATTTCATATTTAAAAATAACATTTTGTATGTATAACAATATTTCATATGTAATATTTTATATATAACATTCATACACAATTCACTTTTATTAGTATAAATATGTAAATTATATAAATTTATTAGATTGTTTTTATCATACTGTAAATAATATTATTAAAATACTAAGCCTATTCTAAAATATATCATATCATTGTTACTTTTCTTGACTTGATGGGCAAGTTTTATCCCTGGCGCAGCGTGACGGGTTTCTCCTAGTTTTACATATAAAATTTTTTGAAAAGAAAAATTAAAAGCATGGATTTGCTGGGTCATTTTTCAAATTGTTATTATTATGAGAATCGAAAAATTAAGTTTGCATGACCTAATTTATTAAAAAAAAAAAAAATTTTTTTTTTTTTTTTTTTGGGGGGCAATTTAGTTCTCTTACTAGCTCTCACAATTGTTTCTCAGTATTTGTAAAAATCTAATATTCTAATTATTAAATTTCGAAATTTAGAAATCCCCTTTCTTAATTTGAACATCTATTTTATTTATCTATAATGTAGTATAATTCATATGATGTAGTGAAAATTTCGATATAATTAGTGTACAGCGTGGGTATATGATATCAACGTACAACTAGCAAGAGTTACTTCTAAACTCTAGTAGGATGTACGTACATCCCTACTGTATGATTCCTAATTGGCGATCATCTTGACCAGACTTAACATAGTTCCGCACGAATAGTTATGGAGTCCGGTCGAGGTGATGAGCTACCTATATGACAGTTTACTCAAGTGATAAATAAAAAGACCATTCCTAATATGGTTTCATCACTTGAGTATCATTATATTACACACTGCTAACTATCACCGTACTCCGACCAGACTCCACAACTATTCATCTCTCCGCTAAATTCTCTGTTGGCTAAGGACACATATTTCCCATCTTTAGGTGGAACTTTATTAGATGATACAGTAGAAAAAGATGAAATCTTTGATCCTATGACTCAAGTATATCGGGACTGTCTGTTTGAAAATAATATCTTCTATGCCAAGAATGTGGGAATGCGTACAAAAAATCATGTAATATCACTAATCGAGTCAGAGAAGAAGGCATTATCCCCAATCGATACAAAACGCTGGATTTGGTCAGATGGTATATCCTC